AAAAAAAAAAAAAAAAAAAAAAAAAGAGTTAGTGTGAGAGGCCGAGGCAGGTGGATTGCCTGAGCTCACAAGTTCAAGACCAGTCTGAGCAAGAGTAAGGCCCCACCTCTAAAAATAGCCAGGTGTTGTGGTGGGCACCTGTAGTCCCAGCTGCTTGGGAGGCTGAGGCAAGAGAATTGTTTGAGGCCCAAGAGTTTGAGGTTGCTGTGAGCTGTGACACCACAGCACTCTACCAAGGGGGACAAAGTGAGACTCTAATTTCTCCCTCTATAAATTTCCAAGTGGACTTAAAGAGAATCCAGTATTAAAACGTTAAATTTTCCAATAATAAAGTTTAAATGAGAAGATTACATCCTCTTCATACAGAGTGAGGAGTTTAAGTGCATGTATTTGTTAGTGTCCAGTCTTTAGGATCAAGCTGTAGAAAAAGCAGAGACCCGACTACAGTTACATTTTATAATCACAAATCCTAGCGAAAGATGATTGGCAAACGGAGCAGGAAAGTGGGCATGCCTGTCCCAGCATGTCATAAAGACGTGTTTAGACACTGAGCCGCACATGGGCAGACCCAGACCTAGAGGTGGACCGTTTGTTTACAGAAACAGTCGCCAGGAAAACTAAAAGTCAGAAATGCAGAAAATATTTCCTTTGAAGAGAGTAATGGGTCAAGGGCTGCAGACGCTTTTTCTTTTAATTCTATTGATGTTGTTAAGCACACATAGGTATGACTTCCAAAATAAACAGAACAAAACAAAAACTAAAGCCAAGCTCATTCAAAATTCTTTTGATTTATGTTTACTAAGTCAGATAGTACATACATTTTAGGAAATTTTCAAACGATGGCACATTGTAACAAAAAACCTTAATCAAAAGTTTTCTGAATTTGGCCAGGCCAGGGGCTCACCCTGTCATCCTAGTACTCTGGGAGGTCCAGGTGGGTGGGTTTCCTGAGCTCAGGAGTTTGAAAGCAGCCTAAGCAAGAGCAAGACTAAAAATAGGAAAACTAGCCAGGTGTTGTGGCAGCACCAACACTCCCAGCCCCTTGAGAGGCTGAGGCAAGAGAATTGCTTGAGCCCAAGAGTTTGAGGTTGCTGGGAGCTGTCATACTGCAGCACTCTACCAAGGGCGACTAAGTAAGACTCTATATCAAAAAAATAATAATAATAATTAATGGTAAATAAGTTTTCTAAAGCACATTTTTTTTTACAAAATCATAATTCAGATTGGTAGATGCAAGAAGCAAAACAATGGCCCCAATAATGCCCATTCCCTAAACCCCATAACCTGTGCGCACAACACCTCATGAGACGCAGGCACCACTGCAGGGGAAAGGCAAACCCAGAGCTATCTGGGCCCAACGCAATCACATGCACCCTCAGAACAGAAGGGAGGCAGAAAGGTGAGTCAGAGAGTCAACCAAGGACTCCCCAAAGGGGGCAGCCAGGGAACCTCTGTCCAAAACTGCCAGGAATTAAATTCTTTCACAACTCTGCCAACACCCTGACCTGAGTCTACAGAGAGACATGCCAGTCCTACAGACTGCGAGGCAATAAACATGGACGGAGCCACACCAGACCTACAAACTATAAGGTAATAAACATGGACAGAGCCACTCCAGACCTACAGACTGCAAGGCAATAAACGTGGACAGAGCCACGCCAGACCTACAGACTGCAAGGCAATAAACGTGGACAGAGCCACTCCAGACCTATAGACTATAAGGCAA